TAAATATTTTTAAGTAAGTACGATTCGTAAATATTTACAAAAAAATAGTTCCAAACTTTTTATAAAAATTTTAAGCTATGTATTTTTCAGGGATTTCGGATTAATATTTCAACATAGTTGCCACATTCTTTAAAAAAATGGATCTAAGCTAAGAATTTTAAATAATTAAACATTAATCTCAAATGCGCAATATTTCAAAACCCATGCATTAGAGAAGTTTTAAAACGGTTGTCATCCGCAAAAAGAAAATTAATGAAATTCTTTAGGTATGTAAATTTCTACAAGTGAAAGACATTTTAAAATATTTTAATATACAAAATTTAAAGTTATTGAAATAATTTAGGTGCGCAAATTATTATAGTTTGTGAATAGAAAACAATTCTAGTTTAATAAATTTTCTCAAAGAAATAGGGTTACCATCTAAAAGGTATTTTAAGTAATATTTTTTTTCTAGTAGTATTCACAATTTCTTACTACTAATTCCTGTTGTTTCGAATTCTGTTTATTTAGAATATTTCCCAATTAAATTTATGCAATTTCCCTTTATCTCCCCTCCTTTCATTTCCACTCAATTATTGTTATACCTGCACCTATCGCATTGTACAATATGTTATGTTATATTACAGATTTTTACTGATTCTTTTTTTTGAAAATTTTTGTTGTTGGCTACAACATCGTCCGTCACGCATGCACGCGCATTCAGCACAATACAAGCAGAGTCGCGCCGCCACCAACGCTGCCCAATACACGCACACCACCCGATGCGATCGACTCGAACAAAAGACCCACACAATATCGTTTCTAACTGGCTGACTGATTGTCTGACTGGTTGACTGGCCATTTGCCTACCAGCCGCCTGCAGCCACCTATTTTTTCTTCTGCTTGTCTTCTCGATTAGCTGTCTCAATTGTCATTTATGCTTATGCCGTTGTTGTAGGTGTTGCATTTTTTGACGTATGCGTTCATTTTGATTACCATTTTTGCTTAATACTCGCTGTTGTTGTTGTTCTTGCATACTACTACATATAAAGAGTTTGATTTGCTATTCTTTAGAACGTCAATAGCGATTTCACTTGAATTTGAATTTCAAAAATGCATTGAACATACTTTTTGTGCTGATTTTTTCTTCTTTTTTTCGTTTGTACATACAAATTAGAAATTTCAGTGCTGACTATCAAATGAGCTTTTTGGACTTGGGTGTGGTCAGTTAGTCATGTTCCCTTTTCTCGTTTTCCGTGAAAGGGCCGCAGCAAGTCGGTTATCAACCTATAGAATTAGCCAGAAGCTACATATTTTGAGTTAATACAATGCCAGAAACTTTGGAAAAAATGTTTTTTTTTCCACAAAATTTTTTATTGAAAGTTTCATAATGTGCTTGACAGTATTTTCAGAAAATTTGAAAGTTTAGACCCCTTTTCTCAAGTAGCTTTAAAAATGTATGTACATTTTAAACACAAATTTTGTTCCCAAAATATTAATTTTAATTTTACTATAAATTCTTTTTTGTCATTAAAATTAAAATGTAAGCAATAAACTTCTGATTTTTTTCCCCCAAAATTTTAAATTTATTAAAAAAATTTTAAATTCCTATATGTGGATTTAGAAAATTTTATCGCAGACTTTCTGAAGTTATCTTGAGTTAAACTGGCAAAAATATTGTAATTTTCCATTAAATTTTTTTTTGAATTACAAACCAAACAAATTTTAATGGAAACTTTACTGCTCGTAGAAAAAATATAATATTCATCGAGAAATCTTCTGTTGCTTTCAAATACATATTTCACAGAAGTAGAACTTTTACTGAAGACTTTTTTCGGGTCTTCTAAAATTATTCAAAAATGAATTAGAAAAAATGTATGCAAAGCGTTTTTTTTTTGTTTGTAAACCTTCTTTTTTGGGAACCGAATACAATTTATAGGTCTGATTATTCAAAAATATGGTACTATCATCTCAAAGTTCTAATTGTATGATAAAGATTCCAAAAATTATTTTTTTGGATAAAATTTTTATTTTTAATTTCTACTGTAAAAAATAATAAATACATATGTACTTTATAGTAAACAAAAATAATATTTTATTAAAAAAAGTATGTATGTATGTAAATGTTCCAAAATAGAAAAAAATATAAGAAGTTTCAAATGCTTGTTTGCAGTATTTCTGAGATATTTTTAATAAAGCGTAAAAAAATAAATCATTTCGATTGCTTTAAATACAGGAAAGACAGAAAAAAATCTTTAAAAAAGTACAATACAAAATACATGTATGAAATTTCTTGAGAGCTGCATACCGTTTTAAGATATTTGGTAGAAATAATTTTTTTTTATTTTTTGTATGTATACAACTTCGTTTCCTTGGTAATAAGCATAGTATGTAGGACCTTTGTAGGTACTTCTGAAATTATTTTTAAAAAAGTTTTCTTTAAAAATTTAAATTATCAAAAACTACGAACGAAATTTTTGTCATCATAGTCATAGTTTTAAAATTATTTCGCAGTGGTTTTTGCAATTTTTTAATTAAGTTAAACAAAACACAACATTGTTCGAAAAACAGTATTAAATTAAAAAAAAAAATTATTTGGTTAAAATTTTTTCGCAGAATTCGCAAATTTTTCAGTTTATAAATATTTAACATTAAGAAGTCTTATATGTCTGTAAAAGCTAAAAATTTCAAAATTTTTCCTTAGTGTTTCTGAAATTATTTAGAAAAAATTTCCTTATTTTAAATTTTTAAAGGAATTATTTACTCCGAAAATCTCTCGTGGTGAAAAAATTCAAAAATTTTAAAATTTCTTCGCAGGGGTTTTGAAATTATTTCAAAAAAGTATGAAAAAATTAATAAAAGATGTGCATGTACATTTTTGGCTGAAATAAAAAGATCTGTATATTCTCCGGCTGCAATAAAAAAAAACTAATTTTACAAAAGTAGAGTACTGGTTTTTGACGAAATTATGCTTTGGGCATAAAGCATTTAATTATATTTATATGATAAAAAAACAGTTAAATGAAAACAGTTACATTGAAAAGAAAGTATTTAAAATAAAAAATGTGAGTGCTCAACAGTAGAAAATAGTTTTATTGTGATAGAAAAAAATAAAAATAAAAAATCAAATTTTTTTGACAAACACAAATTTTTTTTCTTGCCCAAATTTTTGCTTCAGAATTACTTAAATTTTTTCAGTGAAATAAAAAGTAGGAAATACTTAAAATAAAAAATGTGAATATTCTTGTGATAAAATAAAAAATTCTAAAATTTCAAAAATTTTCGCAGATTTTGATTCAAGTAAGTTTCTGAAGGCTTTGTGGAACTACATATGGGCATTCCCATGGTGGCGCACGTGACAGTCGTACGATTTCAATGTGATACAAAAAAGGAATACCATTTGTTTTCTTTAACTTTTTTGGGCCATTGTATAGCACATAATTAGCTCTATACTTAACCGAAAAATGAAATCAATCGAACTGCTTGGTCCTGAAATATAAGCATTTAAAGAGAGTGTCGTTACGTGACAAAAAATGGAAGTTGATTTTTTCTTTTCTTACAAAATCGCAAAACTCTGCGAATTGTGGATGGCTATTTTCATGAAACTTATTTTAATATGATTTGGAGCAATTCTAGTTGTTTTTAGAGTTTTTTGAATTAATGCAAATTGTTTCAATTCTCTTTTACAACCCCAAGTGTGAAACGTGACGTGACGTGGCGTCACGTGACATAAATTTCCATCGTTATATTTTTGTTAATATTGCTTTTAAATGAATTTTCAACGCAAATAAAACATGTATTTTATGTAGAATATACTTTATATTTTTAATTCAGGGTCAATTTATTGGAAATCTATTATTTATCATGTTTCAACCACATACGCCAAATTCGAACCAAATCGGACCATAAATACGGTTTTTCGAAATATCTCGACCTTGGCACCACCTAGGAAGACCATTTTATGCAAACATGATTCTACTTACATAGCCAGTAAATACTTTAAAAAGCAGACAAATCGGCCCGTAAATACGTTAGATATAAAACTTTTATTTTTTTTGTCGTGGTGGACCTTCCGCTGGAAATACCCATATGCATTTTGAAAACTAAACAAAAACAGTTTGAATCAGAAAATTAAGTTTTTTTTGAGTTTTCTGAATATTTTTTCATAAAAACTAAGGAATATAAAAAATAATTAAAATGGAATCAGAAAATTTTTAAATTTTTTAGATTTAAACACTTCAATTTTTTAACTCCGTTACAAGTGAAAAAAAGTAGATATTTCTTTACAAAGAAAAGTTGATTGCTATAATTAAAAAAAATCTGTGTCCAGGAGAGCACAAAACTTGCTAGATAAATGTTCTATCTGATCCTACCACAAACTTTCTAAAAATCTCATTTGGTGTTTCCGCCCAATTTACTTTTAAGTCGTAAACCCATTCCACTGTGCCAATTCGAAAATATGTACATACTAGAATCACGATGATCACTCATACGCAACGGAGTACACACGAATACACACACCCAAAAGCTATTGTCTGAGATCTCGATGATATTCAGGCAACTACGGAAAACAGAAAAAAGGCGATGCGGAAAAAACGATATTGAAAACACAATAAAAGAAAAATCGCGTTCAAAACGCAGTGTTGCATTACAGTGCACAGCAATAACAACAAGTCTGGCAAGAAAGGCAAAACGCCAACTGAGGCGATGGTAGGGTATTCGTGTTAGCACCAGCAACAAAAGCCGCTTGCTTAAAGAGCACTTGGGAGTAGAAAACCAGCAAAGTATTTTAACAAATTCTCTGTTTTGAATGAATTTCATTGCCGCTGCGTTGCGTACGTGTTCGCAAGCTTATTGAAACGTTAGGGAAAATGGGAAACAGACACGCACACACAACTTCGAACTTTTTGTGTGTGAGAACACTTGCGCCAATACTGAACCCGTTGAGAACACTCACACACATGTGTCTTCTGGGCCCAACTCGAAATGCCGCCGCCGCCAAGTGCCAGTTCATATTCAGTTTCCGGCGGTATTGGCCGATATGACGGATGACGACGATACTCGTACAATTGCGGTTTAATTTTCACGTAGCGGTGTTTTTTTCGAGTTTCGTGTTTTTTCTTGTTGTTGTTTTGTGCGTGCATTTTGTGTATATGGCCACGGTCGAATGCGCATGCGAGTAAAGTCAAATAAACAAATAATTTAACAACAAGAAGCGGCAACGACTCGAACATCAGTCAGTCAATCGGGCTGTCAGTCAGTCAGGCAGGCAGATGAACAGTTGAGCCGTGCCGGTCGGTGGTGGGTCGGTTGCAAATATTCATTCGACAAATTTTGTTATGAATTTTATGACTTTTCTGCGCGCTGGCGGTTGTTAAACAAAAATTTTTAATTTTAGATTTTCGAAGATCCGCCAAAGAATGTGTGTTTGTGTGTGTGGGTATGCAAATTTGTACATACATATGTATACGTCAAGCGAATGACCCGTACGCTGGGAGACAGACGTTCAGTAGGTGGTTATGTTTTGTGTGCTTGCTGCTTTTTGTGAGAAGTTCAAACACATTTGAATGCAAATTTCAAGTCAATGATTTTTTTCTTTTTGTAAATAAGGCCAGCAATAATGCTTGCAGCGACAATGTATAAAAGAAAATCGCAAAAATAAAACGATAATTTAATAAAAAATTAACAGCTGTGTTGAAGCGTGAAAAATGCAAACAATTTTTAAACAACTGCGCCAAGTGACTTTTGGCGGTTTGACGTTGAATTGATGTATTGCGTAAATTGAATATTTTTTTTACAAAACTTTGGAGAAGATGCAAATATCAATAAAGGTTCTTGCATTGGAATGGACAAAAAAAATAAGAATTCGGGGTTTCACAGTTCTATTGCCACAATGTCATACGCTTGAAAATGGTAAAAGTGGTTTAGTGGTTATATAAAATATAATATATTACTTTTAGTTGATGGGTCGAAAATTTAAAATTTTTTGGGAGTGGGGATTCAAATTTTTTTCCTTGACAATTTTATTTAATTGTAATTAAAAATATATGTATACATATATATATATGATTTATCAGTAAAAATTTAATTCTGCAAAAAAAAGTTCAAAATTGTTTCGCCAAGTTTGTGAAATTATTTCCGGCAAAATAAAAAATTATTTCAATTTGATTAATTTCTAAAAAGAATAAATAATTTAAGTATTTAATTATTTCCAGCAAAAAGTTAACATTAAAAAATTCATTGTTTTTTCTCCAAATTTCTGAAACTTCCGACGAAAATGATAATTCAAAAATTTAATTTTTTCTACTAACAGACGCTTTCACCAGCAATTCAATCGGATAATGATTTTTTATTTTCTGTCGATTTCCATATAAAGTTCAAAAAATTAAAATCATTTCTCACTTAAATTGTTTTCGAGAAGTTGGCTGTAAATCCCTGAAACATTTTCAGACAAAAAATTAGAACACTCAATATTTAAAAATTTTTTTCGTACAACTTTTAAATTATTAAAAACTTTAAATTTTTATCAAAATTTCTAAAATAATTTTCTTCAAAAAATTAAGACTTCCGACGAAAAATAATAATTCAGATTATTTTTTTTTCAGTAAATACCTGAAAAGGCTTCTGACAAAAAAATGGAAAAAATTTAATATTTCGTGAAACATTTTTACTGTATATTAATTATAACTAAAAATATACTAAATATTTTATCAGGAAAAACTTTATTCTGCAAAAATTAAATATTCAAAAATTAAAATTTTTTTTCACCAAATTTGCGAAATTATTTCCGGCAAAAAATTAACATTAACAAATTAAATTTTTTTCTGCCAAATCTCTAAAACTTCCGACGGAAAATAATAATGCAAAAATTGAAATGGTTTCAGACAAAAACCAAAAAAATCGAGATTTTCAAAACTTTTTCCGTAATACCTTTAAATTATTCTTTACAAAAATTCATATTTTTACGCCAAATTTATGAAACTATTTTCGACAAATCTTAAAAGACTAAAAAATTATTCGCAAAATTTTTGAAACTTCCGACAAAAAGAATATCAATTCAAAAATTTATTTTTTTGCAAAACCTCTGAAATTTTTTACGACAAAAAATTAAAACATTAAAAACTTTTTATTTTTTTCCACAAATCTCTGAAATTATTTGCAATAAAAGAAAAAATAGTAAAATACGCTTTGACTATAATTTAAAGAGTAGGGTAGTAAAAATTTAAATACATTGTTCCGAAAATAGAGGTAGGCCGGTTTTATCAGTATTTTAAGTGAAAGGTTATTTTTTACTTATGTACGTTAGTTTTCATATTAATTTACACAAAATAATAATTTTTCACTTAAATTGCTATAGTGAAACTGGCTGTTAGTTTTCGACGAAAAATTTTAAGAAAAGTTACATTTTGATTAAAACTTTTTCATAGATTCTCTGAAGTTAGTTTAAAAAAAAAATAATTATAAAATTAAAACTATGCATCAGCGAAAGTTTAAACCTCCAATTGTTTTGCTACAAAATTCTCGTTTATAATAAACTAATTTCGATTAAAATAAAATCCTAGAAAATCCATATTTACATCGAAAAATTTCTGAAATTATTTTCAATAAAAAAAAATCAATAAGATTTTGTCTGGCTGCAATCAAGGCAAGGCGAATTTGTACAATGTGGTCTTACTAGATCAGCTGATTTTGTTTGTATGTTTCGCCTCACGTCTTAGTACAAGGCGCATTCATACGAGGTGATAGTGGCAGCACAACAACAAAAAATTGCTCCAACAAATTAAACGCATGATAAAATCAGAACACAAAAAATTTACTGCAAACACATCATATTGACAATCGCCGCAATTCAACTGATCCGGTTACAACACCTTGTATGAATTCGCCTTGGCTTAAAATGTCAAATTCAAATAGAAACAAAGCATAGAAAATTCGAATTTTTAATTAAAAAAAAATGTATAAAACAAATAATATCACTACAAAATTCCCAGAAAAAAGTTCTTTAACATTCAATGTACTGAAAAATCGCCGAAAAACAATAAAGTTTTCAGATGATTTAGAAATTTCACCGGAGGTGCATTAAAGTTTTCGATAAATTTAAAAATTTTACTGAACATCTACTAAAGTTTCCAGGAATACTGATGGAAACGCCCTCAGTCAAGTATTTTTTTTTTCTATCTGAACTTTTCCTACTCGTTCAGCGGTATTCAGTTAGCTCTGTCTTAGCATCAGCCTTGAAAGAAAATGATTACGATTATCGAGATTTGACAACCACTTCGGCACTGAAATTTCGGTAGGAAAGAATTTTAATTTGCTGCAAAAAAATAATGCTGGGTATTCAAACGGCTTAACAGTATTCGAAAGTGGTATTACAAGACCTTTCTATCACTCGAGATCTTTTACCGAGCCCATACTCTAGTCTTTTTTGATGATCTATGTAAGTGGTGGGCGAAGCTAAATTGGATATAGAAGAAGGTCTATCCAGTTTTGCTTCACCGATCATCTAGAAAATATTGTCCTGATCGGGGAGGGAAGGTTGCTTTGAAAGAGAACAGAATCTCCAAACATTCATATGCACATACAGATCAAGAACGGGCCAGTGGCGAGCCCAATGATATTACCAATTATTTTAGATATTAAGAGCTCAATCAGGTACAAGCACTAGGCTATCTCATTCAGAGGTCTACAATATTCAGTAACCGAATTGCGTTGTCTATTTGTTAGTGTAAAGCTCTTTTAAGGCTGCTTGATTGCCAGCGAAAATGAAGGCTTCTTTCGTCTCTGTAAGTTTTTGAGCAAGTTTCCGCGATGCTTTTTGGATAGCCAACACTTCTGCTTAGCATAAACAGCAGTGATCAGGGAGACGAAAAAATGTACCACCCTAAGTTTAGGTGTGAAAAATCTTCCGCCGATTCCTTCTGCAAGTTTTGAGTTATTTGCAAAAAACAAATTTTGAAGTCTACTATACCAGACCTTTCGTGTTGGCATCAGAGCTTTGTATTTCTTATCTTAGTATAGTTAAACGGCTTTAAATTCGCTCTATTAATGCGCCGGCTTCTCTGAGATATGCTGCCAATATACGGCTACCTCACGAGCAATTCATTTAAAAGTCCGTCGTCTCGTCGGCAGGCAAATTGCGAGCGTGTTTATGTAGTGAAAGAGAGCTTCCCACAAAAACCAGTTGCCGTTCGGAGAAAGCGTAAAACTGCAGTCCCTCCTCTCGACTTCAGTGACAACATCGAGACGCACATGACAAATCGGTGGCGATGCTCGTCCAAAAGCTTAACAAAAGAAGATCGCATACGACTGAGAGTCGAGGCTATTTAAACAGATGGTTTCAAGCTAAACGAAAGTTTCAGCAGTGGGCTTCACTCCAACGAACTCGTACTACATCTCAGATTTCCCTTACCGGACCACCGGTTCGGTTTTCAAACCGAACTAAACGCCGCAAAGGAGGTCCCTCGATGGCTCATAGCTTCCACTGGCCCAGTACGATATGTCACTATTTTGACAGCCTGGGTGCCTGGATACAGGGGTATTTCTAGCAACTACATAACCGACGAGTTGACAAGGGAAGAAACGAAAATAGACGTGATCAAATCTGCTCAGCACGTGGGCAAATCTTTAACCTTCTTCAAACAGAGAAAGACTAAGCCTCTCGAGGAGGTGGGTGCTGGCACCCAGCTATCAGACTTCCAGATATATATGGGCAAAAGTTGATGTAAAGCGATCTAAAGCTCTCACCCATTGGGGTAACTGCTCCTCTCTGAGATTAGTAGTTGGGGTAATAATAGCACTTTTTTATGTGCACGCATGGAGAGAGGATTATCTCCGCCACTATTACCTTGCTTAGTTACATTTTTTAAACCATAGGAGCGAAGAGAATACTCTGCTTTTGTGGCCTGCCATTTTGACTGTATTCCGAATCAAAATGCCTCCTAGTTCCGAACTTAGCACTTTGCGGATGCGCAGTTGATGGATGAGTACAACCAGGGCCTCGTCTACCCGAAGAGCTGTCATGGTTGAGGTAATTGCCTCTGCTTTTTCGGGGAACGCTCCACCAGGATGTATTACTTAAGTTTAAGTGATATCTCACGGGGGATTAAAGTAACTAGGCTCCGGATGGAAGTATTGCATTGACATAGTGTCTGATGTGGGTTTACAAAAATTCTACCCAGTTCTTTAATAAAAATTCTGATAAGCTTATTGGCCTTTCCACTCGGTATGGCTTAGCTATTAAAGCAGATATAATAAAAATTCTCTTTTCGCTTTTATGTCGCTATGCAAAAACATACCAAAGCCCTT